GGGTGAGTAAATCATGGGGTAATTTTCATTTTTGGGTGAACTATCGCTTTAAGGTATTCATTAAAAAAAATACAAAAAACAATTAGACATGCCCTGTCCAAATTTCCAGATTCAATAGTTTGTACATTAGTGTTAGAAATATTTATTGTTTTTGATTAACTCTCTCTCACAGCAGTTACAGTCGGTACTAATTACCACAGTATTCTTTCAATACTCTCTCTCTCTCTCTCTCTCTCTCTCTCTCTCTGTGTGTGTTTACTGATCATGTTCTCTTTGTCTTTGCAGGCGCACCTGAGTATACTCCAAAGATCTCATTAGTCTGTGATGAGCATCGTCATCCAGCACAGACCCAAGGTACCGCAATATCTCAAAAGATCCTGTTTTATATCTTTACACCCTCTGTATATTATAACAAAGTATTGAGATGAAATTTTGTTATTGACCAAATACTTATTTTCGACCATAATTTGCAAATAAATTCTTTAAAAATCCTACAATGTGATTTTCTGGATTTTTTTTCTCATTTTGTCTCTCATAGTTGAGGTATACCTATGATGAAAATTACAGGCCTCTCTCATCTTTTTAAGTGGGAGAACTTGCACAATTGGTGGCTGACTAAATACTTTTTTTCCCCACTGTATATAACTATTATTTTATTTTAAATATATGTGTATAATATATTTTTGTATACTTTTAATCCTAGAGGTCGATCGATTTGCTACACTTTCCAGTTGAATCAGTGGAATTCCAGCTTTGCAGCTCTGGTGATTAAGCGGTGGGATTACATGCGACTCGACTGTCAGGGAAGCCACACCCCCTCAGCTCATGCGTCCCACTCTGATTAAATGGAATTGATTTAATTGGGTTACCCCACTGAGAGTTCTGGCTAATGGGATGTGGAGATTTTTGATCATTGGTACGCAGCTTTGACCCGGCGCAAGTGAAGCGGTGCGGCTTTTTAGTTTGTGGTCAGTGTCTCGTGTGTTTGAAGATTAAACCCGCCCACCGGCAGTCAAGATTTTGTCTTAATCTCTAATTAGAATTTGATCAGCAGGAATCTGTGGCAACCTTTTCTCAGGATTGTAGATTCTGCCACATCATTATCATTGTGTATTTTGTATTCAGTGTGTATTTGAAAAATGTCATTATTAATGTGCTTCTGTGGAATACAAAATGAAGTCTCATACACTCTATTCCAAGTCTTCTGAAGCTATATGATAACTCTGTGAGAGGAACAGACTGAAATTTGACTGAAACTTATTGTTCTCAGTAGCTTTGGAGCCTCTGTTCACCATTTACTTCCATTGCATGAGAACAACACAAAAAGAACTACACAAAATGTTATCTTTTTGTCCCAAGGAAGATTTTTAATTTTTAGACCTTTAATTTTTAAGTGAACTACTCCTTTAATTCACTTATTGATGCATAGTGACAGGATATCTGCTGCATATTCAAATAGACTCTGTGCATTTCATTTAGCAAAGGTCTGAGATAACATCAAAACTGTGAAAACGGAGTTGCCCTCCACCTTTCTATCTTCTATTCTACCTATTATAAGCTTTTCAGCTATAAGCTAGAGACAGACAGATAGACGGACAGATGGATGGACGGACAGACAGACGGATAGACAGACGGACAGACAAACTTACAGACAGATGGACAGACAGACATACAGACAGATATACAGACAGACAGATGTTCAGACAGACAGACATACAGACAGACAGATGTACGGACGGACGGACAGATAGATAGATAGACAGACAGACAGATGTACAGACAGATATACAGACAGACAGACAGATGTACAGACGGACAGACAGACAGACAGATAGACAGATGCAAGCTCCACTTCTAACCGACAGTCAAACCGGCATTATGTCATGAAAGTGTGGACTCAGAGGAAGACCGTGAGGGTTTAGGGTGCGATTTTGGACAGGGCCAAGATTTAATTGCTTTCATTGATTCAACGTGACTAATAAACACACGACTACGGCAGTATGGTTTATCTGAGTTCTTCAAGCCTTTTTGGGAATTTTATTATAATATAGTATATTTCTAATGCAATGTTAATCGACATAGCCTTTATCACTGCGTAGAATACTTTGAAATAATATGTTGCATGCCTTATTCTGTGTAAGAAGCCACATCATCTCACTGACAGTCAAACCGGCATTATGTCATGAAAGTGTGGACTCAGAGGAAGACCGTGAGGGTTTAGGGTGCGATTTTGGACAGGGCCAAGATTTAATTGCTTTCATTGATTCAACGTGACTAATAAACACACGACTACGGCAGTATGGTTTATCTGAGTTCTTCAAGCCTTTTTGGGAATTTTATTATAATATAGTATATTTCTAATGCAATGTTAATCGACATAGCCTTTATCACTGCGTAGAATACTTTGAAATAATATGTTGCATGCCTTATTCTGTGTAAGAAGCCACATCATCTCACTGAAGGATTTTATTTCAAACACTCGACTGACGTTATGAAGTGAGTTTGGGGTAAAAACAATGTTATTAAATGTTGTCTTTTGTTTGACAAGAGGTTCATAAATGCTTCTCATGTTTGGAAAGAAGTTTGAAACGTGTTGCTTTCAGATGGAGTAGCATTTACTACTGATCACAGAGCCGTACTTCACTGACAAGCTGCGCATAACATCCTTCGCCAAACTCGAATCAACAAATTGGTGTGCTTCGCTTTGAGGTGACTGGAAAGATTTGTAGTGTTTTTTGTGTTGCCACTCGAGATTTACATGTTTTACATATAACTTCAGTCTGCATGTGGTCATCTGTTTTAAAACCAAACTACTGCCATATCTTTGGTGCTTCGTCGTTTGGCACTAAATCTTCAGTAGCAGCTGTGGGTGCCTCGGGCTGGCTCATCTTATCAGATCTCACTATGAAATCATCGTGGCTTGTTTGTCTTGCGTCATGCGCACACATATCCCAACCAACATCCACGTGCCAGGTGATATACTCTCCACATTGACCTAAAACTTTGACCATACATAACTTTTTGAAGTATTAAATCACTCATTTATCTCCGATCACCCGCATTTCCTTAAAAGGATAGTTCACCCAAAAATGAAAATTCTGTCATTAGTTGCTCACCTTCATGTCATTTCAAACCCGTAAGACCTTCGTTCATCTTCGGAACACAAATTAAGTTATTTTTGATGGAATCTGAGAGCTGTCTGACCCTGCATAGACAACAATGCAACTGAAATGTTCCCAAGTCCAGAAAGACGCAAGGAGATCTGTAAAATAATCCATGTGACATCAGTGGTTCAACCGCAATTATACGAAGCTACGAGAATGCTTTTTGTGCGCAAAAGAGAAAAAACCCCCGACTTTATTCACAGACAGACAGACATCTTCTCTGTCTTATTAAAATAAGGCCAGATCTGTTTCCTACATTGTTGTGATTTGATCTGAACGGAAACAGCGTATCCGTGTGACGCAGCTGACACAGAACAGCATACGCTGTTTACGTTCAGCGGATATGACACCAGGGTGATGCAGAGGAGACTAATTGTTGTATGAAGTCATTATTTTATTTTATTTTGCACACAAAAAGTATTCTCGTAGTTTCGTATAATTGCGGTTGAACCACTGATGTCACATGGATTGTTTTACCGATCTCCTTGCTTGTTTCTGGACTTGGGAACATTTCAGTTGCGTTGCTGTCTATGTAGGGTCAGACAGCTCTCAGATTCCATCAAAAGTATCTTAATTTGTGTTCCGAAGATGAACGAAGGTCTTACGGGTTTGAAATGACATGAGGGTGAGCAATTAATGACAGAATTTTAATTTTTGGGTGAACTAACCGTTTAAATTGCTCCCGAGCTGCGTAATTGAACTGTCCCTGCCTGCGCTAAGTGAAATGTAAAACTAACATTGAGAAAATTGCACCACCAAAATCATCTCAGCTCTTCAGAGTCCTACAATTTCCTGTAAATTCGACTGCTGTGGTGTTTAAACTCATATCAGAAGCGGTTTGCTAATTTGAAGCTCAATTTAATGCTAAATTTCAATACCTTCCTTGGGAGGCTGATGTCATGTGATTGGGCCTCTTGTTGCTTTCGTTATGTGCAAGATTAAGTTTCCTGCTGAAAGAAAGTGGGAAAATGTTTGATAATATTCACGAAATGGCTTCTCCCTCGTCCTTTAAAGATGCTGAGAGAGCGTGCATAATTTTTGTACTACTTGCAAACTCATAATTATTCATTTTTCTCATATCGCCTTCATTTGCATCTCTAAAACTGCAGTGTTTTGACACCTCCGCATCCCCACCCTCTCTTCATGTGATTAAGACGTCTCTGGCGTGGTCGGGGTTATCCGTGTGTCGTGGTGGCATCACCCCCCGGGGACTTGCACACAGCAGGGGTCATAACAGGTCATCTCATGCAAGCCTAATGCATGAGACGGAGCTCTGCGCGCAGACCATCGCTCTGGAATGATCCCTGTACTTTGTTTAAGGTCCATTAGGGACTGTGCTTTAGCATAAACACCATCTAAATGGACAGGGAACTACAGAGGATTCCAGGCAAGTGTCCAAGTGCCAAGCTCTTTACAGGGGAATGTCGCATTTACACGCAGATGGTGACATGGTGTAGCGTGTTAGTGTGAGTCAGTGCATGGAATTTAAAAATGACCATTGCAATGATCAAGAGACACTATAAATGTTGAATTTATTCTTTGTTCTTTTTAATTTTGAAGTGAAATTATTGTTGATTACTGTAGTAGTGTAGTTTCATCATTGCATGTTGTTCTAAACAAATAAAATATAATATAATGTATATTAAAATGTAATGAAAATCTAATATTTTCATCCATTTATAGTTTGTTTTTATCATATCAATAAATTTGGCTCACTCAGCTTTTCAGCTGTAACCAATGAAATCACAGCACAAATTTTATGATCCAATCAAATTCAGAAGAGTAAAATTAAGTCTTGCGCTTAATGCTTTCATTCTGTTTCACTGAAATTACAGACGTTAAAAGCTTTGTGAATGCTAATTTAATTCATCAGCTGCATTTGCAACTCTTTTTACTTCGTAATGTGACATTTCTGAAAGAGAATGTGAAGCAGGGCTTAATTTTCTATTTGTGAATTTATGGAGTTGTTTCAGACGCAGAGCAAAATAATTTTAATATTAAATTAAATAAAAAAAATAAAAAATTCTAAGAAAAATATCAAACATAAACTGTAAAGAAAAATAAATAAGGAAAAAATTTAATTGTGAAAAAAATTAGTACTAGTAATCGTGATTAATCGGATCCAAAAGAAAAATAGTTGTTTACATAGTATATGTGTGTGTACTGTGTATATTTATTATGTATATAAAT